CCCAAAAAAAAAAAAAAAAAGTAAATTAGGGACCAGCAGTTAGCGTAATGGCTATGTGGCTGGACTCCCATGTAATCGACCTTGGTTCGCGTCCTGGACCCGGTGGCTTAAAACTCATGCTGGGAGCATGTGCATGCGTGCCTAAGATCCTGAGAGGAGAATGGAGGAGAAGGGATTGCAGCGTGGCCATCCTCCCTGGGGGGTGATTTCTCGCTTTCTGTCTCTATGTCTGTCTGGCGAATGCACACGCCCTATGGCAAAAACCTCTCCAAAAAAAAAACAAAAAAAAACTTGTTTGAGAGAGACAGTCTTTTTTTTTTCCCCCCCAAGAATGCCAGAGGTGCATGTGCACACACGAGATACAGAGCACACACCCAACGGTCATGCTGCAGACCTTTCTCTTCTACTCTCCGTTTCATGAGGCTCCTGGGCCCTTGTGCATATGCTTGACATGTTTTGCCAGCTGGCAGGGCTGGGATTCGAACCCTGGTCACCCGTGTGGGATCCAGCCTCCTCAGTGTAGCTCCTAGCTGTCGTGCTGTTGGGCTGGTCCTGTGCAGTGATTTTTGACAGGGCGTCGCTGTGTCAGGGTCTTCCTGCTGCAGCCTCACGGCTTGCTAGCTTCCTGGGACTGCAGGCTCTCACCACCATGTCCAGCCTGCGTGGGTTGGGCTGGGGACTGAGCCCAGACCTTCCGTGTGGCCTCAGACTCTGAGTAGTAGTGTGTTCATGGCACGTGCCACCGTGCTGAGCCCACGGGCTGTATTGTCTTTTTATATTTTTGCCATAAAGGCACGTGCTCATCGGAGATAGAGAGACAGAGAGGGAACTGAGAAATCGCCCCCCAGGAGGGATAACCATGCCACACTCCCTTCTCTTCCATTGTCCTCTCAGGATTTTGGGCATGTGTGTACACATGCCTGGGGTGATTTTCAAGCCATGGGGTCCAGGACTCGAATTGTGGTCAGCCAGGTGGGAGTCCAGTGCCTTAACTCCCACACCACCTGCTGGCCCCACAATCTGGATTTCCCATAAGGAGCCACTTTGCTAGGGCGTGATGTTGCCCCACGTGAGTCAGCGACTGAGAACGTGAGGTGCCTGCACTGTTCACGGCTCTAGAACCACGAGGCCACGGAGCCGGTGAAGTGACGTGTGAAGCCGTTGGAGCACGTTCTGGCTGGAGCCTCCCCTGAGCCCTCACGGCTCACTTGTTCTGTTTCTTGGAGGGTTTGCAGCACCCTGACAACATCAGAGTCGAGCCCTGCGGGCTCCTCAGTCTGGAATTTTTTTTTTTTTTCTAATGTGCCAGAGGGTGTATGTAGTCACCAGAGAGAGAGAAAGCGAGAGAGAAACCCTCTGTGGGGAATGGACATGTCGCAATCCCTTCTCCATTTCTCCTTTTTGGGATTCTGGACATGCCTAACATTCTGGACTGACACGTACCTGGTGCGCTTCTCTAGCTGCTGGGCCTGGGGCTCTAACCCCGTGGTCGGCCATGTGGGATCCATTCCCTTAACCACCAGGTCACTGGCTGTCTCAACATTCTGGAAATTATTGGGTTGTCAGAAACGTCATGACACATTTTTTCCATGCAAAGACATGTCGTGAGTTTCTGACACGCAGTCATTTGCCCCGGCTCTGATCCTGGTTCAGAACGCGCATTTTCTTAGGACCCTTCCCCCCTGCACACCCATCCCAGACCCGACAGAAGCTTTCAGAGACTTTTCCTTCCGTGAAGAAATCAGATCTCTGCTGCTCAGAGCGGGTGCCATGCACCGTGCACGTGGTGATGGCGGGGGACTTGGGGCTGCAGCAGCCTGGCAGTCGCCCCCACACGGACTCACAGAGCCCCTTTGTAAACTCACACCACGCCAGGGACAGAAATTCCTCCTTGTCCCGCCTCTGGGCCTGTGCTTGTATGACAGTGCACGACGTTAGTCCTCAGAGGTCAAGGCCCGTCGATGTGCCCAGACGGGCCCTACAGAGACAGGGTCCTGTCTACTGCGTGGAGCATGGGAAGGGGAGGCACCCAGCAGTGGACAGGGAGGGGCCGTGGGTGCAGCCTGGCACCCCCTGCATGCTTGTGCCCACAGCCTCGTGTGCATCACTGGGGCTAGCAGGGAGGAGGTGGCCGGTGATGTGGTGGTGGAAGTGCCAGGAAGAGGACGTGGTATCTCCGAGCACGACTTTGCCTACCAGGTTCTACCCCCGCAGCCCATCTGGGCCGTCTCAGCCTTCCTGTCACCTTCCCAGGGCTCCCCACCCAGGGCCATCCTATGCACCTCGGGCGCCCCTGCCTCTGCCTCTGGCCTGAGGCTTGTCTGTTTCCCTGTCACCTTACCCATAGGACCCGAAGGTGCTTTCGGTCTTCCCGGCCCGTGGCCCCAGAGCTGGGGGCACCCGCCTTACCCTGCACGGCTCCAAGCTCCTGACCGGGCGGCTGGAGGATATCCGCGTGGTGGTTGGTGCCCAGCCTTGTCACCTGTGAGCCGTTTCCCCATCCTGCAGTAACCCATGTCTACAGGGAGAGACTGGGGAGGGAGTGGAGAGGGGAGCCGGGAGGGCCACATCTGCTGTTAGAAAGTGTCCAGATGGGGACCAGCAGTTAGCGTAATGGCTATGTCGCTGGACGCCCACGTAGTCGACCGCATTTCGAGTCCCGGACCGAGTGGCTTAAACTCACACCGGGCGCGTGTGCGTGCGTGCCCAAGATCCCGAGAGGAGAATGGAGAAGGCATTGCGGCATGGCCATCCCCCGCCGGGGGGTGATTTCTTGCTTTCTGTCTCTGTCTCTCTCTGTCTGTCTGGTGAGCGCACATGTCCTATAGCAAAAAAAAACTCTCAAAAAAAAAAAAAAGAAAGAAAGAAAAGAAAGTGATCAGATGGGGCCAGCAGGTGGCATATAGTCGTAAAGGCGCTGGACTCCCACATGGTTGACCATGGTTCGAGTCCTGGACCTGGCAGCTTGAAACTCACGCTGGGCACATGTGCGTTGTGTGCACAAAATTCCAGTAGGAGAATGGAGGAGAAGGGATTGCAGGGTGGCATTCTCCCAGGGGGGATTATTTGCTCTCTGTCGCTCTGCCTCTCTCTGTCTCTCGGGCATATGTCCTATAGCAAAAAATCTATCTTAAAAAAAAGAAGAGAAAAGAAAGTGTCCAGAACCCTCCTGTGGAGGCAGTGGGAGTGGAGCAGCACTGGGGGGACGTGACTGAGGCCTGGGGGGGTCCTAACTTTCCCCCTCTGTGCCCTCCGGCCCAGCCGGCCTGTCTCCCTCTGCCACCTCCCCTCTGCTCCCCAGGCTTCCAGAGCAGCAGTCGGAGGAGCTGCGGTGCGAGACCAGCCCATGCCCTGCGCCTGCCACGCTCCCTGTGACCGTGTGGTTCGGGGCCGCTGAGCGGAGGCTCCAACACGGCCAGTTCCAGTACACGTCAGACCCCAATGTCACTTCTGCCAGCCCCGCTAAGAGCTTCCTCAGGTGCTGGGCCATGCTGTGGCTGCAGGGCACGTGGCAGGGCAGACTTGGCAGTCGACTGCACGGGGGCAGAGGGCTCTCCTGCTCGGCTGGGCGGTAGGGGCGGGTGGTAGTGCCTGCATCCCCTGAGCGGCTCATGGCTGTGTTTCAGTGGAGGACGAGAGATCCGGGTCCGCGGCCAGAACCTGGACGTGGTGCAGACACCAAGAATGCGAGTGACCGTGACCCTGAGGGTGCCGAGGCCTGGCCAGGGACAAGGGCGGAGGCGCCGCCTGGTCCCAGACATGGCGTGTTCCCCTGGAGCCTCCTGTAGCGCTCATCACGTAGGACACCCAGGGGCCCCCTACCTGCCCTGAGCTCCCATTACCCCCTCGTTCTGTCCCACCTGGCGGACAGCTCTTGGGGCTGGGCCCAAGGAGGCCCAGCCCCCTTCCCAGCCCTTGCGCTGACCCTCCCTGTCCACCCAGTTCGAGGAGCCATGCCACGTGAACTCCTCCCAGCTCATCTCGTGCCGCACGCCTGCCCTCCCCGGCCTGCCCGAGGACCCCTGGGTCCGGGTGGAGTTTATCCTTGACAACCTGGTCTTCGACTTCGCCGCACTGAGCCCCACACCCTTCTCCTATGAAGCCGACCCCACCCTGCAGCCCCTCAACCCCGAGGACCCCACCATGCCGTTCCGGCACAAGCCCGGCAGCGTGTTCTCTGTGGAGGTACTGCTCTGCCTGGCCATGACGGGCCGGGTGTGCAGGGCTGCGCCTTCCGCAGCGAGGGCTGGGGTGGGGCACCGAGCCTAGTACCTTTAGGGTTGACCTCTTGGCTGGATACTGCACCGGAGTCTGAGTAACAGTACAGAAACAGCTTGGCACACGCAGGGTGGGGTGAGGTGGCACAGGGTAGGGGCTGGGCCAGGGCCCGTGTGGCAGCCCGATACCAGGGACACGCGCCAGGCTGTTGGGCACACAGGGTGGGCCGCGGTGAGCGTCGGGCAGGCCAGGTGACGATCCCTCACCGCCCGCCTGGCACCATCAGACACACAGGGGTGCTCTGGCTTTGTCAGGTGACTGGGCACGACTGGGGCAGCTTTTTCTCTAGCGTCGGATCTAGAACAGAAAGGTGGGGAAGAGCAGACAAGGGTCATGGGGAGCCTCTTGGGGGACACCCATGTGACTGTCAGCCCCACATGCCAGGGAAAAGGTGCTGAGGGTCCATCAGCCCTGCTACGGGGGTTCTCAGGTCCTTCCTCCTGTATTTGGGGGGACAGTGACCACCAGAGCCCCTGGAAGGGTTCCGAGTGACCGGTTAGGGACCCTGTCTCCCAGGGGGAGAATCTGGACCTTGCGATGTCCAAGGAGGAGGTGGTGGCCACGATAGGGGACGTCCCCTGCGTGGTGAAGACGCTCACCCGGCACCACCTGTACTGCGAGCCCCCGGTGCAGCAGCCCCTGCCACAGCACCAGGCCCTCCGGGAGGCGCTGGAAGCTCTGCCTGAGTTCACGGTCAGTGGGTGGGGCCGGGCCGACTGGGCACGGGCACATACTGCCGACATGCCGAGCCCTGGCTCACAGGCGGCCGCTCGCTCAGGTGCAGATGGGGAACCTGCGCTTCTCCCTGGGCCGCGTGCAGTACGATGGTGAGAGTCCTGTGGCCTTCCCGATGGCCGCCCAGGTGGGCCTGGGGGTGGGCACCTCTCTGCTGGCCCTGGGCGTCGTCATCATCGTCCTCATGTACAGGTGGGTCAGGGAGCAGGGTGTGCAGGGCAAGGTTCCCTGAGAGGTACAGAGGGTGGCCGTTGGGCCCCGCGGGCTGGGTGGTGCCTGTTACAGCCACTGGGCTCTGAGCTGTGGCGGGAGGCGCCAGCGGGAGTGGGGCCTGGCTGGTCCTAACCAGTCTATCTTCAGACCCAGGCTGTGGTCGTAGCCTGTGGATGGCGGCATGGGTGGGTGACTTGCCTGGGGGGAAGCAGCTAAGTCATCCTGGCCGGGCCAGGCGGGGCAGGCCTGGTGGGTAGAGCAGCCAGGGCTTCAGCCTTCTCTGCTGCCCTGCTCACTTGTCGCTGTGCAGGAGGAAGAGCAAGCAGGCCCTGAGGGACTACAAGAAGGTCCAGATCCAGCTGGAGAACCTGGAGAGCAGCGTGCGGGACCGCTGCAAGAAGGAGTTTACGGGTGAGCCCCCGCCGTCCGCCCCGCTCGGCCTGCGCCCGCCGGGGTCAGCGCCCACACCCGGGCTCGGTGCCCACACCCGGCCTCTTCTGCTCACAGACCTCATGACTGAGATGACCGACCTCACCAGTGACCTTCTGGGCAGTGGTATCCCCTTCCTCGACTACAAGGTGTATGCTGAGAGGGTCTTCTTTCCCGGGCACCGGGAGTCACCCCTGCACCGGGACCTGGGGGTGCCCGAGAGCCGGCGGCCCACTGTGGAGCAAGGCCTGGGGCAGTTGTCCAATCTGCTCAACAGCAAGCTCTTCCTCACAAAGGTGCCAGCCTCCCCTGTGTCCTCCTTGCCCTGCCTTCCTGGATGGATGCCTGAACTGGGCCCACTGCTCCACCTGACTCCACCCCGCCATCCCTGACTCAGTTCCTCCATCCCTAGCTCCACCCCACCCTGGCCCCTCCCCTGTGCCCTGACTCCACCCCCACCCAGACTACACCATCCATGACTCCGCCCCTGTGCCCTGGCTCCACCCCACCCTGACTCCACCCCTCCACCCAGACTACACCATCCATGACTCCGCCCCTGCACCCTGGTTCTGCCTCCCCCAGCCTGACTCCCTCTCATCACTGGCTCCCCCCATCTCTGGCTCCACCCCTGCACCTCTGCCTCTGCTCACATTTCTGACTCTGCCCTTCTGCCCCTGCCCCCCCAACTCCCTGACTCAGTTTATCCACACCCTGGAGAGCCAGCGCACCTTCTCAGCTCGGGACCGCGCCTACGTGGCCTCTCTGCTCACTGTGGCGCTGCACGGGAAGCTGGAGTACTTCACCGACATCCTCCGCACTCTGCTCAGCGACCTGGTGGCCCAGTACGTGGCCAAGAACCCCAAGCTGATGCTACGCAGGTCTGTGTCGGTCTGGCCAGCAGGGCGTGTGGGCGGCAGGAGCCGGGGTATCTGCAGGACAGAGCCCTGGCCACTGGCTGACCCGGCCTCCCTTTCCTGTCCTCCTAGGACTGAGACGGTGGTGGAGAAGCTGCTCACCAACTGGATGTCCATCTGCCTCTACGCCTTCCTGCGGGTGAGGGGCGGAGGCGGCCGGGCTGCTGCCCAGGTGGGGTCTGGCCTTCCATACCATGCACACGGCCCCCACACAGCTCGCACACTCGGGCGGAGCAGAGACTCCGTGTCCTCAGCCTCTCCCAGCCCTGTCCGGGCCCTCTGTCCTCCTGCCCTGCCAGGGCCCTAACGGCCGCACCCCGCCCCCAGGACTCGGTGGGTGAGCCTCTGTACATGCTCTTCCGCGGGATTAAGCATCAAGTGGACAAGGGGCCTGTGGACAGTGTGACTGGCAAGGCCAAGTACACGCTGAGCGACAACCGCCTGCTCCGGGAGGACGTGGAGTACCGGCCCCTGGTGAGGCCGGGGTCTGCGGTGTCTGGGCCTGGTGAGGGCGAGGAGGGGAGGGTGTGGGCAGGTGGCTCCTGCCGCGAGCTTCTGGAGTCTGCATCTGGCCAGCGAGCCCTGACCTCTGGCTGGCCCCTGCTTAGCAGACTAGAGTGTGGAAGGCCAAGCCTTGAGAACAGGGCCTCTGAGGGCCCCAGGCTTGCCATGGGACCAGGGTAGCCACAGCCAGAGTCTGGGGGAAACCAGCCCTGTTCTGCCCACGGGCTTGGCACGGTTGACCACCTGCCAGGCTGTGGCCTCTCCCACTACCCATCCTGGCAACCCTGCCCGTAGCTCCCCTCTGAGGGCACGTTGCCGCAGTTACCTGGGAAAATCCTGTGCGGGCCCCACTACACCTGCTGCTGCGTCCGGAGTCCCGCACGTGCCTCAGCTGGGAGCCCAGGGAGCAGGCTGAGGGAGGCCGGGGCTGGCTCCTTGTTCCTGCCGTGTTCCCGCAGACGTTGGCACAGGCTCTGCCGGGTGGAGGGGTTGCAGGGCGGAGGAGACTGCTGGCCTGGGGAAGCTGGCTGGAACTGGTGCACGGGGGTCAGGCCTCCTCCTGGGTTGTCTCTGCCCTTGGCTCTGTCGGGCGTCCTGAGTGGGGCATGCACCCGGACGGCTTTTGCTGTGCCATGTAGACCTTGAATGCGCTGCTGGCTGCGGGGCCGGCGGGAGAGGCCCAGGGTGTGCCCGTGAAGGTCCTGGACTGCGACACCATCTCCCAGGCCAAGGAGAAGATGCTGGACCAGCTTTACAAAGGAATGCCCCTCGCCCAGCGGCCCGACCCTCGCACCCTGGATGTCGGTGAGGGCCCAGGGACCCACAGGTGTGGGGTCTGAGCCAGGCCTGCAGGGACAGCTTGTCTCCAGGGTAGGCTGTGGTGGGGGTACTGGGGAGCACGGGGACTTTTTATGGGACATGCTGGGAGTCCAGGACATTTTGATGGGCCATGCTCACAGCTGGGGAGGGGCTCTTGCCCTGGCTCTGGAGAGGCCGGGCAGTGCTGCCCCCTGGTGTCGCTGTGTGGCAAGACATGGTTCTGCTTCCTGAAGGGTTCCTGGAAGCCCTGCGCTGAGTCCCCTTTCCTTGCAGAGTGGCGGTCCGGGGTGGCCGGGCACCTCATTCTTTCTGACGAGGATGTCACGTCTGAGGTCCAGGGTCTGTGGAGGCGCCTGAACACCCTGCAGCATTACAAGGTGGGAGTTCTGGGAGCTGGGGGAGGGGTCGGGAGGAGGGGCTGGGGCCGGAGGGTCACCAGCTGTGGTCTGCAGGTCCCAGATGGAGCAACTGTGGCCCTGGTCCCCTGCCTCACCAAGCACATCCTCCGGGAAAACCAGGACTATGTCCCAGGCGAGCGTGAGTGCCCCCGCGCGGGCAGATCCTCTGCCTTGTTTGGCCCAGGCGGTGTAACCGGCCAGGTCCTCTGGGCTGGGGGTGGGTCTGTGCCGATTCCCCTTCTACCCAGGTGCCCCCAGTCCTGGGGTGCTGGCAGGTCCGGGGAGGTGGTGCCTGGAGAGGGGTGATGAGCCATGGGGCCTCGGCACAGGGACCCCAATGCTGGAGGATGTGGACGAGGGAGGCATCCGGCCCTGGCACCTGGTGAAGCCGAGCGAGGAGCCCGAGCGGCCCCGGCCTCGGAGAGGCAGCCTGCGGGGCGGGGAGCGCGAGCGCGCCAAGGCCATCCCTGAGATCTACCTGACCCGCCTGCTGTCCATGAAGGCGGGCGCCGGGGGTGGGACCTGGGCTGCCGGG